GAGCGCACAGGCCGTAATTACCACGTCCTGCTGTGGCCGGACAACTCGTCCGCGCAACACATTCTGTTCCGTTCATCTTGCCTTGGCATCAGGCCAACGAAGCTACCCACTCTTTTTTAGATCTTTGGGACTCAGCGAGATTTTTGAGGGCCCAAATTATCACATCGATCAATTGCTGAAGTCTAGCAGCTGTGTGATACGGACGAGTTGTCCTGGATACTGTGCGCTCTAATGCCAATGGGATCGCGCCATATGACCGCCTCCCGTTTTTTCACGATTTCATTTTGTGGACGGAAAGACCAACGTGTCGGCACAGATACACACCGAAACACCGACAAATATACAGGCTGACAAATCAGCACACCATTAGTGGTTTACATCCTGAAAGAACGAATATCTCGTCGTTTAAAACGGTGCACCGTCCTCTTTCTTTGCATGAAAAACCGCGCAGGGTTCGCAGGCGCAAGGTTGTCAGTCGTCGCCACTTGCTCTGTCTAGGGCATCTTCTGCTGTGGCCGTGATTTCACCTAGGTCCTTCTTGATCACGTCCTTCCACCTCTTCTTTGGGGCTCCTCGCGGTCGCTTGCCTTGCACTTCGAAGTCCATCGCTGTTCTTATCGGATGATCCTGTGGCCTTAGCACATGCCCATACCATCGCAGACGCTGTTCCCGTACCTTCAGCTGGACAGGGGCAGTCTGCATGACCGCTCTGACATCCTCGTTTCTGACCCTGTCCAGTCGCGTCCAGCCGCAGGCCCACCTCAGCATCCTCATCTCAGCGGAGTGAAGCTGCCTTTCGTGATTCTTGTTCAGGGGGCAGTATAGCATCGCAGGCCTCACCACTGTCCGGTACACCTTCCCTTTGAGCGTTCTGGAGCACCTTCGATCGCAGAGGATTCCAGTGGACTCCCTCCATTTCATCCATGCAGCGTTGATCGAGCCTTCACTGCCTGATCCACACTACCGTCAGCTGCCAAGTCGCTCCGCAGGTGTTCGCTCCCAAGTGCGGGTGCTGCAATCGTCTGGTATTCCTCTCCTTGAATTTCCGGAGGAATTGCTGCATGGTATGCTGTGATCTTGAAATTTACACAAAATAATCCAATACCGAGATTTTTCAAACAGAACAGCCCGCCACAGTAGCAGTTCAGTAATATTGGTTCAACACTCGCAAAATCGATATCCATTTTGCACATGCACTCTCGAAGACGTGTTGCAGATATGTGAACAGGCTCACTCCTGACGTGCGAATTGACGGAAATTTTTTCCGAAATCCCCTGACCCCCCTCCCTTTACCGAACAACCGTTTTGACGCTTCCCAAAACTCCTTTTCTCACGTACCCAAGTAATAGTACCCCATTTTGACAGATAGTGCTGCCGCTTCTGTCTTATATGGCCGGAGCGTCGACACTGTTTATATGAAGTGTTTACCGACCGAAAGTTCACCCAATTTCAGATGATGATCGGCGCCAACGTGCCAGAAGAACAAGTGAACTCGATTGCCGATCGTACGATGAGAGAAGCCGACAAGGATGGCGACGGTTGCATAACATTTGCCGAATTTTGCCATGTAAGTTTTTATCCCCGAGGACGGGTACCCCCCAGGAGGCCCGCGCGCAAGAAGGCAGAGTCGGCGGACGAGTTGCAGCGCGTGGTGTGCGATGTAGGACGTGCAGTGGGACACTCTATTTAACTTGACGCGAAATCCCTATAGTACGCGCGCGACTCGTCCGCTGACTTTGCCTTCTTGCCGCGCGACGGGCCTCCTGGGGGGTACCCCGAGGGCGGGGCTTGTCAAGGACGCAGAGTTTTGCACCAGAGAGCGAGAGCAAATTGTGTATCCACCAGATTAAAATATTTAATCATTAAATTTGTTCTGCAAATAGTCATTCCATTTTTCTTTCCATCGACTGATATCATAAGAGCCAGTAAACAAGTAAACATGGCTATACATCAGTAGAGATTAGTTGTCCAATTGGTGAGTACGGTATGAGTCGGAATACGTTCTGTGGCAGTTGTCCTGAAAGGAACAGTTTTCAGGCCATGGAAAAAACCGACATCGAGCAGAAAATGTCGTTTCGTTTTCTGACGTAACAACAATGAACTATGGATTGAGAGTATCAGAGTTTAAAAATCGATATCATTTATTATTGATTGATTTATTGGTTTCAAATAAAGTGTTCCTGATTTGAGTCCTGAGAAAGTACTGTACGATGTGTTTTAACTACACATAAAATTCTTATGCAATATGCTGTTTCAAAATTGAGGCCAAATTAAGAAGAAAGACACAAGGTTAAATTTCAGGGCATATTATTGTCACCGTCTTCTGGTTTTCGTGCTTCCTCCGGAGGCTCGATGGCGGTCGTTAAGTCGTCTGCTGGTTTTGGCTTCTGCAGCGGCGTTTCGACGGCCGTCTTCAGATCCTCTGCGTCAGATCTTTCAGACGGAGACTCGCCGACCATCGTTACATCCTCTGCGACCGGTGAGTCGATGGTCACGTCTTCCATGGGCGACTCGAAATCATCCTGGCGCCGGCTGTCTGGCGTTTTTTGAATCGCGGTTCGATAGGTGCGATCACTCTGAGTTGGTGCCAGCAATGGTTTTTGATCCGGTTTGGGCATGATGGCTGGTTTCGTACTGAAACTGTTCTTAGGCGGTGCCGGTAGTTGTTTTTGATCGAGCTTGGACGTGACGGCAGGCGTTGTACCGAAGATGCTGAACGGCAGGTACGAGTCGATCTGAAAAATAGTATTTTCTTAGAACCAGTATCTTTGAAAAAAAGGCTGGGCTGGGTTTTCTGAACGATGTTTGAACTTGGCAGTTGGCGCTATCGCAATATACGAAGGCATTCTCTGAGAGTAAGCCTAGGAGGAGGCAGGAAGCTCCAGGGGAAATGAAAATTGTCCACGCACCTTGTAGTCTCTTCTGTACCGCCTAAGGCTTAGGTCAGCCCCGTTTCTAACAACAAAAAACATGTTTTACGCTGTTTCAAATGCATTTTCATCACAATGCCCCGTACTACTGGCGAAGAGGTTACATGATTCTTGAATGCAGAAACGACTATACTGGCGTGGAGTCACTGGCCAAAGTGTGCGCTAAAACTGCAAGGTCTCTTATGCAATCTCTGAGTTCCAGATAAGCTGACCGCTTCGCAACCGCACGCTTAACATTTATGTCTTGTGGTCGCTTTCTAAGGCGAGTTTTCTAATAGCTAGAGTCTGAAGATCAGTTTGAGTCTTCACAAATTGAAACTCGAACGATGGCATTTGGAATCGAGGGAGCCAGTAATTCTACAAACACTGAAATTAATGTTTAAGTAGCAGAAAGGGGGTTATCAGTTGCTCTGCCTTCATCAAGAAATATCAGGATAAGGGGTAACAGTTTATGGAAGAGAGCAGAAAGGGATAGTGCCTCGTATTTATGTACCAGTTTAGCTCCGCCCGCTACCGCGCGCATGACACGGAAGCCTCTGACAAGAACTGACAATCGGTGAAGCTTTGGGTTTCACCGCTTAACTATAGCTGCTTCGTTAAATGCATTACTGTCCGTTGCCCATCTTGGCTGTATCTCACTGTTTGATAAGCGCAGTGAAGTGCACAGCTAAAGTGATGATGTAAACAACCACTATGCGTCGAGTATCGAGGTAATTTAGCGGTCGAATATCTCAAAACGGAATGCCCAGTATTCATTATCATATTTATTCGAGCATCCCATTCATCCTCAAGAACTCTAGAAGGTGTAGCGGTCGAAAGGTGTTTGAGTTTACAATTACAACGCTAATGAAATGATATTGAAATGAAATGCATTATCTGCAATCTGGTTTCGAGTAATCTCTACGTTCGTACGCATATCGTTATTATCAGTCCTCATCAGTCGTTATCACTTTTTGACCCCCACCAAATATGTTCCCGTCCCACCCCCTATATCATGTCCCAAAATCAGCTCCTGACGACTGCTGCGAAGCGCACTATGAATTTCGTGAAATTTGTGTTTCAGCGCCTCTTATCTGCTCTTATCAGTCGTTATCACTTTGTGACCCCCACCAAATATGTTCCCGTCCCACCCCTATCATATCAAAATCAGCTCCTAACGACTGCTGCGACGCGTGCTATGAATTTCGTGACACACACACACACACACAAACAACAGACATAGCGTTTATATATACCAGTTTAGCTCCGCCCGCTACCGCGCGCATGACACGGAAGCCTCTGACAAAACTGACAATCGGTGAAGCTTTGGGTTTCACCGCTTAACTATAGCTGCTTCGTTAAATGCATTACTGTCCGTTGCCCATCTTGGCTGTATCTCACTGTTTGATAAGCGCAGTGAAGTGCACAGCTAAAGTGATGTATGTAAACAACCACCATGCATCGAGAATCGAGGAAATTTAGCGGTCGAATAATTTTTGGTAATCTCAAGACGGAATGCCCAGTATTCACTATCAAATTTATTAGAGCATCCCATTCATCCTCAAGAACTCTAGAAGGTGTAGCGGTTGAAAGGTGTTTGAATTTACAATTATAACGCTAATGAAATGATATTGAAATGAAATGCATTATCTGCAATCTGGTTTCGAGTAATCTCTACGTTCGTACGCATATCGTAATTATCAGTCCTCATCTGTCGTTATCACTTTTTGACCCCCACAAAATATGTTACCGTCCAACCCCATATCATGTCCCAAAATCAGTTCCTGACGACTGCTGCGAAGCGCGCTATGAATTTTGTGAAAATTGTGTTTCAGCGCCTCTCAATTGCTCATATCAGTCGTTATCACTTTGTGACCCCCACCAAATATGTTCCCG